ATTCAGACCTATTTTGTGAGGCTCTCAGGGAGGTGAATTAAAATGCATCAGTGGAAATAGGCTCCACTCAGGCCTCAGAGGCTGCATGGTATTTATCATCTGACTGCAGACAAGTCTCAGTCTGCCAGCCTGTAACTTCCAAAATGCATAACAAGCGTGCCAGCAATGAGAGACAAAGCATCACTTATTGCTCAGATAGCTTCCCTCACTCTAATGAAGGGTGAGTTATGAGCTGCACCTTCATGCCACCCATTACACAACAGCATTTGCCACTCTGCCCCCTTTACTATAAATATACCACCCACAGAGATACTACAGACCAAAACCTACTGCCTGACTCCCTTCACATTAACAAGTCAGGAGTTATTTTATTTGTGATGAGGAGTAACTCCAGTGCAAGATAATTGCAGGGAGGAGTAGAATAATTTTTCCTTTCAATCTATATTACTAGGTTTAGAAATAACATACTTTCTGGTGTGTTGCTTAGTTCTAACCACTAACTGATTTATAGAACTATTAATGAGTATTTATTAGAAAGTCTAATGGGTCAGTAGTTAAACTAACCTATTAGTAATAGCTTCATAAAAATCTCAATCACATAATCTTTTAATTTAAAAACCTTAACACACAGCATTCCTGTACCATTTTACAGATGTAATTACTCTATCACATTACCAAATTCTTAGAAATAACCCCCTTTTCTCTCTTGAGACAGAATTAATCAGTCAGTGATTTCCTTCCACTCAAATGCACAAGTGTCCTGGGAAGCATTTTTATCTTCTTACACTCCTTGATATGGTTTGCAACTTCCCACTTTATCTAACTAAATGATCTTTCCACTGAGTCTTAATTTCTCATCAGGTCTGTTAAAAAAAAAACCAAAAAAACTCCCAAGGATCTATTCCTTCCTGTGATGTCAAACGAACAAGCAGGACTGACCATCACTTCTCAGTCTTTCAGACGTGGCAACCCGCCTCTGGCTCAGCAGCTTTTACACAACCCTCATGGGCAGCAGCCTGGGCTGGCAGAGAGAAGAACCAGCTGTAAACACCAAATGCAAAGCTGACCCTCTCCCTACCTCATAGGTGTTGAGCTCCTACCATTAAATGCATGTAGATGTTCTCATGCCAGTTTAAACCTTTTCAGGCAGTAACTAAAGCCCGTTCTTATCCCTTTTACCCAGGGGAAAAAATAAAATCAACTTCTACAGACCTGGTGATTCTAGAGGTCTGAATCACATGGCCCAGAGCAGCCACATGGTTCAGTGGCACAGAGCTGGCTGAAGAAGTTAATACATTTTCCTTCCTCCCTCCACACAAACACTGCTCCAGCTACTGATTCTTACCCCCGTACTTGTTGTTTACAGCTTCCAAAATCAACAAATTACCCAAGTCAGAAAGAAGCTCAAAACTCCACAAATATCCCTTTTACATTATTAAAAAAACCAAACCAAGAGGTCAGTGACACCATACTGGAGCAGGAACACTACAGAGTTGCTACAAGCAGTGCTGTACCTGAGCCCAGACAACCTGGCACCTCTCTGAAACCTTTCAGAGCCCATCAGAAGTCAAGACTCACCACTTGGGACATACCAGCTCAGATTTAACAGCACTGTCAGGACCATCCTCCTTTCCACTCCCCTAAAAGCACCCAACGTCCTGATAAAGTTTATGGCAGACCTCTAAATATCTGCTGGGGGGGGGGGGGGGGGGGGGGTCACAACTGACCACTTAAGGCTGCACAGGGCAGTGCCCTGGGGTGCTCAGAACAGCAGAACTGCTCACTGAGTGCTTGCATGTGCCCAAGACACAAATACACATCCATTTTTCTCCTGCTCACCATCTACCCTCCTCTTAGGCAGCAAAGATCCATTTGACAACTTGTCATCTTTACACTTGCTCACAACACCCATTTGGTGAGCACACACTCTGTTCCTGTGGGGATCTAAGAACTTGCTGCCAGCCTGGAATTGGGGCAAACACCATTTGCTCATAACTAATCCCTCCTGCAGCACTAAAACAGCTGACTGCTGCTTCAGAGGAGCTGACATTTACTTGGGAATTGTTCTGGCTTGAAAGCAAAACCAGTGAGAGACTCCAAGTCAGAAATACAATTTATTAGGAAAAGGGGGAAAAAACCAAAATACATGCAATAATGCAAAAGAAAAACCACTGACAGAGTCAGAATACAACCTGACACCCTGCTAGTTAGGGTGGTGGTAGCAGTCCAGATGAAATGGACTTGAAGTGGTGATCCTGTAGAAATGATCTGGTAGCTCTTGACCTCTGGAAAACTAGTGGATAAGGGCTGCCTGTTCCATCCCAAACCCCAGATTATATCCAGGTGGGGATGCTTAGCTCCTCTCCCCTGGGCAGAGCATCTCACAATGGGCTGATATTGTTCTGAGTCACACCTGGGTCCTTGAATACCCATTGAACAGAAATGGCTCCCACAGGGAGTGATCTCTGAGTCATGCAGCGAGGCATTAATAGGCCCATTAACAAGTGATAAGGAGAAAACAATGCCCCTCCTGGTTTCAACAGCTCTTGAGGATGGGAATAGAATACATCTTTATGTTGTAACCTAGGACAGCAGCCTAATTCACCCCACAGTGAGGTCAACAGGGAAGCTTCTCCCTGTTAAAGTGGGACCAGGCCCCTCATTCCCTACTGTAAGTGCTCTGTCATTTCCACAGCAAGCTCATGTCACTACCATGGGGACACCAGTCCATTACCCGGGCTCAAGAATTAAGCCCGCTGAGCTTCATAAAAGTCCAAATCCAGATGTTACATACCAAACAGTCAACAGCCCTGGCAGGGTTATTATTGCAAATCTCTTATGCCATGACAGAGAGGACGAGAAGGGTGGCACACAAAAAGAGGTGCTCGTTCTCTCCTGCTGAGGGGTTTAAGCAGGCTAGCAGCTACAGGAAGCACCAAGGGGTCTCTCCTCTTGGTGTTCCACAGGCAGGAGATGGGATATTCACATGACTATCCCCTTCACCCCACTGCAAGGGGACCACAGTGCCCCAACAGCCTCCACATCTGCTTTAGGTTCCCAGGCTCCAATGCACACTTATAACAGAGCATTAAAAGTCTGGGCCTTCTCCAGATCTGGAAAAGGAGAAACACTTTCTCCTCTTGGAGAGGAATTGGAAGCTACAGGGGGTGGAGAATGACGACAGACAAACAAATCCATCACAGTTGATCACTGCCTTTGGAAAACAATACAGCATCATAAAAATATCTGTAAATATTTTAATAAGGCTTCTTTTACACTGAAAAAATTACTGCTTTTTTTTTAAAATACAGAGTAATGTTTTAAATGTTCTGAACTTACCAGGAACATTGTTGACTTTGGGATTTAATAGCTAATATAATATTAAGTACACATTTGCAGCTCATCAGGAGAAGCATACCCGCTGATCAGAAACATGATGTAAAAGGAGAGCTGCTGATGAACTGTGGTCATTTACCTCCTCAAATTTCCCCACTGACGCACATCATCAGAGCCCCTGCAAAGAGAGCCAAGGCTGTTTTCCCCCGAATCAAATAGCAAGGGAGATGTTATTTGAGACATTTAACCAACTTGGGAGCATATGCCTTGCAGACTATCCCCAGTGAGGAATTCATTTTACCCATGCCAGAGCTTTGCACCCTGGGATCTCCCTTCATGGCTAAGGCAGGGAATTAAGCTACAATCCCATCAGCTACACATTACCAGAAAAAGAGAAACACTGATATTCCTCTTGGATAAAAAAAGTTAACCAGCTAGTAACTATTAAAGTAAAAGTCATTTAAAAGATAAAAACCATATTTGACTCATTTATAAAATCATCTGTAGCCATACATGAAAGGAAAAAAGTTTGCTGAAAAGACCCCAGTTCTATGGGTCTGTTGCCAAAACCCACATTTGCTTGCAAACAATTTTACTCTATGACAGTAAGTTTGGGCATTTAAAGTAGAGTTTGCAATAATGGTTGTGGCAGTTCTCAGTCCATGACAGATTGGACAAAGGTCTGTAAATTTGGACAATACATAGTGGAAAAAAAACCCACCCAAACACAACTGGATGAATGCCTTGGTGTTGCAGTCAGGTGCTGTGAGCCACAGCCTGCAGCAAGACAAAACTCAGAAACTGAATTTACAAATGTCTTAGGTTTCAAATGCAGCATGTGACTGGGGGTGTCTACTCTATTGGCATCTTTTAGAAGTGAGGCAGTTATCTGCTGTTAATTGGGCCACCTGTTAAGACAATGTGGAACAGTTTTTCTTTATCTCTTCCACAACCAGCCTTCCCTCTGGACGCCCTCCAGGAAGTATGTTCTCTTAATGGGCCATTGAGCATCACTGCATGACTGATAAAATTACATCATCCATTGGGAGATGCTGTGCCCAGAGGAAGGAGCCAAGCATTCCTACCTAGATATAATTTGAGATTTGGAACAACAGAGACAGCCTTTTCCCACTGGATTCCCAGAGGAGCAGCTGTTTTCTCCACTGGATTCCCAGAAGAAGACCAGGCCCATCTGCACCACCACTGAATCTTCAGAAGATAACAAGACCCATCTACAAGATCACTGCTTCAACAGAGCCACATCTATCATTCCAGGAGCACTGCAGCCACCATTTAATGGGACTAATACAAACACTCTGACCCACAGGGTGTCAGGTCATATTCTGACTCTGTCAGTGTTATTTTGTATTACTATATTTTAATTTTTTCTAACAAAAACTATTATCCCTACTCCCACATTTTTGCCTGAGAGCCCCTTAATTTCAAAATTACAATAATTCAGAAGGAGAGGGTTTACATTTTCCATTTCAAGAGAGGTTCCCACTTTCCTAGGCAAACACCTGTCTTTTCAAACTGAGACAACAAAGTGACAAAAGACCATAGCTATGACCAGCTGTGAGACAGCATAAAACAAGCACAGACAAGAACCAGCCAGTGGAGGAGGACCCAAGCAGCAAGGCCACAGGGCAGAGCTGCTGCTGTCAATGGGCTCCAGGCTGCACAGCCCAGCCCAAGGCAGCCACTCAGGGCAGGAAAGGGACCTGGACAAGGAACAGAACCATGAGCAGGATCGAGGCACTTGTGATCCAGGAGCTGTGGGCAGCTACACCACAGCCAGAGCAAGAGCCACAGTCAGGGCTGGCACCAAGAGCCAAGCTTGGGCTCAGACTCTGCTAATGAGAAACAGAAATGGAAAAGGAAGAAAAGAAGCCACAGCCAGGACCAGCATTGTAAGGACCAGAGGAAACAGTGCTCAGAGTCCTGGGGGTGCTCCCCTGGCTCCAGCCTGAAGCATGGGCAGGGAGTGGCACAGAGCTGGGAGTGGCACCACAGGAGGGATGGATCCAAGTCCTCTGTGTCCTCCATCAGCTCCCCTGCCCCACCACATCCCCAAGAGGCACTGGGGCAGCAGCTGAGCCTGAGGGAAGAACAGAAGAAACAGGCAGCTCTGCTAAAGGCCTTGGAGACATCCAAGGAGAAGCAAGCACAGAGGTTGGCCAAGAAGGTGGCCAAGGAGAGAAAGAAACGGGAGAAGATAGGCTGCAGTGAGGAGTACATGGGCTACACCAACACTGACAATCCTTTCAGGGACAATAACCTGCTGAGCACATTCATCTGGAGCAAGGCTCTGGAAAAGGAATGGATCAGCCGTCTGGATGAGAAGGACCCGAAGGAGAGGATCAAGCAAATCCAGGAGGACAATCACCTGGAGCTGCAGAAGATGAAGCAGCTGCGCCTGGAGCAGGAGCGGGAAAAAGCCATGCGGGAGCAGGAGCTGGAGATGCTGCAGTGGGAGAAAGAGGCAGAGCACTTCAAAACCTGGGAAGAGCAGGAGGACAAGTTCCACTTGCAGCAGGCCAAGCTATGGTCTAAGATCCGGATTCCGGATGGGAGGGAGAAACCCATTGATCTTCTGGCCAAGGACATCAGTGCAGAGGATGATGACCTGGCTGTGGAGATGCACGAGCCCTACACCTTCCTAAATGGAAGGTTGACCATCTCTGACATGGAGGACCTGGTGGAGGACATCCAGGTGTACATGAAGCTGGATCAAGGGAAGAACACAGACTTCTGGACGGACATGACCATCATCACAGAGGATGAAATAGCCAAGCTCTGCAAGCTGGAGGCCTCTAGGAAAGGAGGACCAGGGGAGCATCGTGAGGCCTCTAGGAAAGGAGGACCGAGGAGCATCGTCAATGCCTCGGTCAGCTCAGATATGCAGGCCGTGTTCAAGGGGAAGACCTACAACCAGCTGCAAGCTCTGTACCAGGGCATCAAGAGCAAGATCCAGGCAGGAGGGCCCAACCTGGACACTGGGTACTGGGAGAGCCTTCTGCATCAGCTGAAGGCTGACATGGCTCGGGCCAAGTTACAGGAGCAGCACCAGGACATGCTGCGTCAGAAGCTCTACAAGCTGAAGCAAGAGCAGGGTGTGGAGTGTGAACCGCTCTTGCCCATCATCAAGCAGGAGCCAGCTTCCCTCAGCAACAGGCTGGATCCTGAGGAGAGTCTTGACATACAGCCAGGGCCGTCCTCAGAGCCAGAGCAGGACACAGAGGCCAAGTGAGAAGTGGAGGGGGAGGCTGTGCTGATGAAGGAGGATCTGATCCAGCAGAGCCTGGATGACTATGATGCGGGCAAGTACAGCCCCCGGCTGCTGGGCCCCAATGAGCTGCCCTGCAATGCCCACATGCTGGAGGCCAAGGAGGACACTCATCAGCTGCTGCTCCTGTGCCAGCAGCTCCAGGTGACAGGCAATGCTCCTGAGAACACCCACAACATCATCTTCCGCAAGGCTAAGGAGGACATGGGCGCAGATGAGGCGCAGTTCAGCGTGGAGATCCCGCTCACAGGCCAGGCCTATCCGTGGGCTGACAAGTACCAGCCCCGCAAGCCTTGCTTCTTCAACCATGTGCACACAAGTACAACCAGACCCATTACAACACTGACAACCCCCCACCCAAGACTGTGCAGGGCTATAAGTTCAACATCTACCCCAACCTCATTGACAAGCGTTCAATGCCCAAGTACTTCCTGGAGGCCTGCCAGGACAGCAAGGACTTGGCCATCCTGCACTTCCATGCCAGGCCACCCTATGAGGACATCACCTTCAAGATTGTCAGCAGGGAGTGGGAGTATTCCACCGCCATGGCTTCCGCTGCCAGTTTGCCAATGGCATCTTCCAGCTCTGGTTCCACTTCAGGCAGTACAGGTACCGCCAGTGAGGGGCTGCTCCGCACCCTTGGACACCTGCCAGGGGTAGGCAGGGGACATCATCTCATGGCACAGACACTGCTCCAGGCAGGGCCCCGAGGCCTGGCCCTGAGACTCTTGTATAAATAAAACTGATTTTTACCAATTTTTACAGTTTGGGAGGAATTCAAAGCTGTTTGAACACCATGACAGTTGCAATGCTGCTAGCTTTTACTATAATAATTAAAAATTTAAGTTCTTATCTATGCACCTATCTACATCACATAATATTACAATGACTTTACCACACCGTCCTTGTAATTCCTTCAGGAAAATCATTCCAGTTTTATTTTAAGCATGTATTGTCCAAATTCTCAGTATCTTTTGTATTAATAGTATCAAAATAAGTTGAAACATTTATAGATAATAAACTTCAATATGTTAATTTGACCTGATCTTAGCAACACTTAAGTTTTATTACTTTTAGGTCTAAGTACTGTTAAGTTAGATTTTATCAGTTTAGTATTCTGTTGAAGTTAAGTTCATTATTTTTTCTGTCAAAGGTAATTCATTTCAAATTTTAATATTGTTTAATATAAATTATCCTAAATTTTGTTAAAAGTCATCTGTCTAAACTGTAAGATATGCATTTTTTTAGAGAGATAAGACAGCTCCAATTAAAACAATAGGCTGCTTAATTGATCCAATGTCTGTTTCTACAGCTATTCAATTAAAAAAATAATTTAGTCTGATTTTCTCAGGTTGTTACTTTTGTTCTGTAAGGATATGAAGCTTAAGCAGCTTATTAACAGATCTGCATATGAGGATGGGCGCACACACACACACAGTCCCTCTCACCTCCAATAGCTTTAGGACTTACTGGCTAATTTCAAACAGGTTTTATAGAGCAGCAGAAATTAACCTCAGTGCCCAGGCAGAGAGGAAAAAAAGCAAAATTAACAGCCTGAGGGAAGAACTATCATAATTAGAGAATCAGCTCAGGGGTACAGAATAAAACCCAAAACTAAGTCCAGCTGCTGTCCCAATATGTAAATTATGACTAAGGATAAACTTTAGACATGATGAGTTCCTTGTAGGCAGAGTTATTTAAGGCACTCATTCAAGGCTTTTTTTTGCATTTGTAGATCCTTATACTCCTTCCAGTGGAAATGCAAATCTGTTTAGGGCACTTCAGCCTGATGATAATTATCTTTTATGGCCTCTCAGAGAGAGTTCATGGATCCTCCAAGATTGATATACTACAAGTTGTAAAATAATTCATCTCATGCAGACTTGCATCTGCAGTTTGGGGCTAGAAGTTTCAGGAACACCCAAGTAGACAAGCAGAATTTCCTAACTCTGGTTGAAATAGAAATAGTGCTTAGAAACCTCTTTAATAGTATTTTAGCATTGCAAATCGTGGCTGAAACAATAAAACTGACAGCAGGAAGCAACCCTTGCTAACATTCAGCACAAGTTTTCAAAGAGACATTAAAAATACCTGGGAAAAAGTGTGTTTGAAAGCCCTTTCCTACATCTCACCTAGATATCCCTAGTGCTCATCTGTGGGATAGGTTAAGCAAGGGCTTAGATCTTTGCAATTTATTCCCCTCATTGCTATCCCCAAAAGGTCTCACAAGACCGGGCTAAAAAAAAAAAGAGTTCATATTGTGGTCCAGCTCCAGTGGCACACCCCTTCATACACAGGCAGCCCTAATGAGAGTTCCTCCTTTAAAAGTCCGATTTTGATCCCTTATATTTTTTCCTAAGCTAAACCCAGAAGAATATACAGATTTTTTTGGGCAGCATTTCAAAAAAACAGTGCTAATCATTCATCAGTAACTCTCACTTAGATTTCCTTATTGATGCTCTTTTGAGGAGAAATAATATTTCAAATGAAGATGTGTCTATTAGCATTCAGAGGCATCACATTTGATAGCAGAATTGATACTTTGCTAATCAGCTGCTCACAGGGATCTGAAGAGAAATCCGTGAGAATATGACAAGAATAAGACAAGGGACACATGGCTTGGAATGACAGAATACCCTCCTGGGCCTTCTCAGACTCTTCCAATTTGTGTATTTTGGAAGATGCATTTTCAGCCATCCTATAAAAAGATCAACCAATCACTCACATCATTCTTTTGTGTAATTTCTCATACACACACTTTACTGTGTATGAGAAACTAAATTATTTCTCATATTATTTTCACTGGTTTCTGACCAATGCAATCCTTATGCCATTTTTCAAAAAGGCTGTTGAATAGCAAGAAAATTGTAAGTGTGCTTCCTCCTGGACAAGGCAACTGCAAAGTGTGCTTTATGACAGCATATTGACCAGTTAGTGTTTTTTCATAAAAACAAAACATACCTCAATCCTGAGATGTATTAACAAAGCTCTGGCTCTCAGAGTTCTGAGGACACCTGTGGCCTTAATGGCCTCTCACCTGAGGGCCCAGATCCATGACCCCTGTCCATGGGCCCAGCTTAGCTCCAGCCCTCACTGGGGCCATGTGTTGTGTGCAGCCCTGCCCAAGGTCCCCAAAAAGCCCCAGGCCTGTGCTGCAGATAAGGCCATTTCTGATGCTGCACACTGGATAATTCTTTTAGCAACACTCAAGGGAGCTCCATCTCCAGTCCAGTCTCCTGCCGTTCACAGCAGGACTCCCCCAGACCTGGTCCACCACCTTACCTTGTTTAGGTCTGTCAGTGGATCCTGCCATTGTCACAGAATCATTTAGTCTGGAAAAGACCTCCAGGATCAATGAGTCCAACCTTTTAACAATTTCCACCTGGTCAATTAGACCATGGCGCTGAGTGCCACATAATTTCTTGAGCACTCCAGGGATGGTGACTCCACCACATCCCTGAGAAGCCATTTCCAATGCCTGACAGCTCTTTGAGGACATCAGGAGGACTTTCCTCACTGAATCTCCCCAAGTGCAGTCTGGGGCTAGGTCCTCTTGTCCTGTCACTGGTTGGCTGGGAGAAAAGGACAACCCATTGTCACCAGGTACTGCACTCCTGGGCTCTGGGGACAGAGGGTTTTGCACAGTTCCTGTTGGCATCACCCTTAGTCACAGCCATCACCCCCATGTCCAGTCCCTGTTGGGCTCCTCCATCACATCAAGTCAAGTCAAAAACCACAACAATTTGTGTTCTGGCCTGAATGACAAGGTCATGTAGAACATGCAAAAAAACATCTTTCCCCTGACCCACTTGTGTGCTATGCATGGACACACATCCTGCTCAGCCACAGTCAGTGCTGTAGCAGGGAAAATGTTACTCCTTCCAAACATGCAGGAGAAGAGGTCAGAGACTTGCTTCAAAACCCTTCCCTGCTACTTTCAAGGGCCGGCAGTCAGGAGCCAAGAAATGTTGCACAAAGAAAGGCAGGTAGGGCACCAGCTATGGAAGTTCAGAGCAGAATTTCACTCCCTGACTGCTGGCACCATTTATAGATAAACTAGCCAAGCAACACAAGACAACAAAAAAGCCCACCAGAATGTACCAGCTTCTGGTACATCAGCTCCTCTTTCTCCCTCCACTCTAGGAACCCTTATTCCATTATTTCTTTATTCCAAGGGTTTCTAGAGTGGAGAGAGAAAGAGGAGCTGATGTTTCAGAATATCTGCAGATAGTCAATTATTCATATGCCCTCATGGAGAGGGAAAAGAGCAATATTTCCAGTTCAGCATCAGCACATACTGAAAGCACTGTGAAAAACCACCAGAGGTGTGAAATAGCTGTCAGTCCATGTGAAAGGCCAAGATTAAACACCTCTCTCACCCAGCAATCTTAGTCTAAGGATAGCAATCATGAATCAGCCACTCAAAACCCACAGAGGGCTTGTTCCAGGAAACTACCCTTAGAAAGGGCCAGGATGGTTTGGAAATGCACACAGACAAAACCACACCAACAATCTGCCCACAAAGGGATATTAATAATCTACAGATTGTACATGCACAGGCAGATTGCTCCAAGCCTCCCAGGGTGTGGGGTGAGAGCACATCCTCCCATCCTGCCCTCTCCAAAGGAGCAAAGCATGCTAACAGAGGAAACTGAGAGGAAGGAAACTTCCTCATACCTCCTCACAAAGGGCAAGTCCAAGAAAAGCAGGGCTCTATTTACAGTCCTCTAAAGTCCCTGCCTGCCAGATGGTCCCTTTGAGCTCCTTGGTGGGGCACAGCTTAGGCTGTGTTAAGACTCCCCAGAGCCGGGGTAAGCTCACAGCAGGAAGGAACCAGGCGATTGGGCCAAGTGCCACCAATACAAGACCACACTGTGTGAGGTGCAGATAACCTCATTTTCTGTGGAAGATGATATTAGAAGAGAGCCGTGTGTTTTCAGGTGTGAGGTAAGGAAGGAGGAGTCTATTTCTTATGGGAAAATATAACAACTAAAACAGCAACACACAAAAAAAAAAAACCACCCTAAACAAAAAAAACCCACAGTCCTGGGAAGTGTCCCTAGAAGGTTGTAAAGATAGAAGCCAAGCTAACAATCCTTTGTTCTTCTGGAAATACTTTCCTCTGCCCGTAGCAACGGAACCAGGACCCCATATTACCATCCTAAGTTAAACATGGGCCCTTTTGGCTCTCAGGAGGCCAGGATTTAAACTTCTTTGTTTTCACAAAGCAAAAAAATACACGCTTGCAGAAATCACTCTCTTCTGATTCATTTCCTCTGGCATTGTATTGTTAAGTTGCTTTAACAAAATAGTCAGTTTTCTCCTCTTCCTCCCCCTTTCCTCTCCTTCAGGGCCACGTTTTCCCCCAGCAGGGAGAAAGTCTAACTTTCTAAATAAGCCATTACTGTAGCTAATAGCCTAGAGGGAGAACAGCCCCCCTGTGAACCCTGAGAACACTGTGTATTAACTCTTGTAAAGCAGACAAATGAAAGCAGGAACACATGTTATACATTAGAAGCTCATATTTTGATGGTAGGCTGCTACAGCCCAACCTTCAATTAATTTTGCCCCTGCTCCCTTGGCTTCTCAGGTTTTCTGAACTTCAGCCATTAAATCTGGGTT